AGAAGAGTATTCTTTAAAAAACATTAAAAATCTTACTGTTCAAAACCTTTTGATTGGTATTGTATATTTTAAAATGTAACTTATTTTTGTGATGGTAAAGCTGAATGTCTTTAGTGATCCTTCAGAGAAATAACTCTGATATTCTAATTTGGTGCTCAGAAAGCATTTTTATTATTATCACTGTTGAAAACAGATTTGCTGCTTAATATTTTTGTGGAAACCTTGATACGAAAACTAGTAGAGTACAGTATAAAACAGACTTGGAATATCCCACAGTCATATGGATGACTTATGATGCTTTGTGTTATTTTTGGAGCTCAGTCTCCTCATTCACTTTAACTGTATGGAAAACAGCAGTTTGGACATTCTGCCAAACATCTCCATTTGTGTTGTATGGAAGAAAGAAATCTCTATTTTCATTTTTGGGTGATCTACTCCTTCAACAGAAACATCACATGTATCCTCGACTACTCAAACAAACGTGAACAGGAGCTACACATACAGGTAGAGGAAAAGCAGGGTTACCTGGAAGCAATGTTTTCCTTCAAAACAAGTTCTTACTTTTCTGTGGACAAGATGGAGAAAAGTGAACAGGTACACATTTTGGCAGCTGTTGCAGCAAGAGACCAAAATGCAAAATCATGCAGAGAGTGACAAACCACAAGTAAACACTCAAGTTATCCCTGTTGGAACTGTCATGACAACATGATTTAACGTGACATTACAAGGTTTGGGGACAGGACAAAGCACCAGACAAGCTTATTCTGACCAGAGCTGCTGTCTGATTGGTCAGGTAAGCCATCATTACCTGGGGGCGGGGCCACTACCACTTACCACATTACGAGTGAACTTTTCAAATGAGGTTCTGCGATCCTGTATGCTTCCCAACTTTAGTCAATGAGATGAAGAGTGAAAAAAGGGACTACAGCATGGTGCATATAGGTTTTATTAAGTATAATTAATATGCCCATCTATTTGTGTCAATTCAAATGAATCAGATTTAT